TTTTCCAGGAAGATGGATTGGGCGAGGAGGTTCAATTCCTTGACCACCCAGATCACCTGATATAACGCAGCTGGACTTTTTTCTTTGGGGATTTATAAAGGACAATGTTTACAGGAGGATCGCATCGAACATTGATGACCTAAAAGTCAGAATTACAACCACAATAGCCTCTGTGGATGCCGACATGCTCGCCGCTACCTGGCGTGAAATTGACTATCGACTTGATATCGAACTGACTATTCTCCGTGCGACGAAGTGGGCACACGTGGAAGTTCATTGACAAGAGTCATGAAACTTTTTGAGTCCATCTAACCATTTATGTCATTAATTTTAATCTATCTTTAATATTTTATGAGTTATCAAAATGGGTCCGGGACTTCATAAACTCCCTGTATTTCCTTTACAGATATATTTAATTTATAAACAGATTTTTGTTGTAAAAATTAATAATAAAGTGATTTCGTTGCGATTTATCTATACATTTTTCAGATTGTGGCAACCCCGATCAAATGGTTACTAAATCTTTAACGTATGTGTTTTAATTATTTATATATAATAGTGTTAAAAATCAATTTTAATAAATTTCGGAACGTTACTCAACAAATTTTTCGTTTCATTTGTACAAGTAAATTGATCTTACCTAATTTTATTGGGAGAATTTTAAGTCTGAAATTAGTTTTTTTTTGGAAAAGCTACAGATCTTTTCAATCTGATATTTTCAGTTTAAGTTTGATTTTTTTCAAATTGTACACGTTTATAAAGAACCCTTAGTTTTATCTGCTTACTTATGCACTTATCTGCTACTTTGAACACAATAACGTAATAGGACCGTAACGTATCGCACTCTAAAAATGATTTTCATTATCACCTTCTTCCCACCATTCTCTACGCTGCAGAGAAGTGGGGACACTTAGTAATATTTACTCGAATGAATTTAAATCAGTGACCTGAAAATATCTATAATCCTTTCAAAAATCTCATAAAACAGTAAAGAAAAAAACATTTCCCACAATTATCAAAACCTAAATTTTGTCACAACTTTCAATATGAAAGTGAAAACTTTTTGATAATTGGCAGCTATGGTATTAAAATCCATTAGCATATTATTAAATCCGTTGACCACTAAAACGGTCTCTTGTGTACTTTTTTTTCTTCTAAAAAGATGAAAATTTTTAACTCAATTATTTAATTTTATTAGGTTAAAAGAAATATATTATTATCACATTTAACAATCAATTTAATTCAGACAGTTGAACCCAAATTTCATATAATTAAATATTCCTTGTTATTTTTTAGAAAAATTCATTAATGTACAAGGATTAATTCAAAGAGTTTATAGGAAAAAACTTTTTAACTTCATTCTTTCTACGTGACTGATTAGAATTTATCTAATAATTTCTGAAATTTCCAAATTCCAATCATTTCACTTTTATTAGTGGCAAATAATTATTTACAAATAATACTTTTCAACTAGTGGTTTATTTAAAAATTCTATTAATGTGAAACTATATAATAAATTTTGTTAGTACTTCGCAAGATTATCGGAAGAACATTATTAGTAGATACTTTTCATATAATTAGATGATTATAGTTTTTTTAAGTGTATTGTTTTACAATTTTGTTAATAATAATAACAATAATAATAATTGTTTGTAAAAATTAGTAAGGAAAGTCGATGCCTTTGAGAATATCAGTCACTAGATGAATACCTTCACAAAAATTTTCATCCAAAGAAGATGGCTACATGTATCTGTAGTACTAAAAAGAATGGTGCTGCTATCTATTATATTAAAAGTGAAACTCAAAATGCATTATTGAGTTTAAATAAACACGTGTAGATGGCAGCACTAAAAACACCAATTATACTGATTACTAGGAGTCAACTATTTTTTCATTTAAATATTAACAAGATCAACAAATTTATTTTTACAATAGAGAAAGTATTTTACTGTTTGAAATGCATTTTTTTTTCTTCAGATTATTCTACGAGAAATTTCCTTAAGAATAATTTACAGTAATGCATAATCACAGAGCCGAGCATCGGTTTTCAAAAACTTGGTCGAAATTGATTTTGGGCCTCTTCCTTAAAAAACAGAAATTAAACTATTAATGTTTTATAAACTTAAAGCTTTGTTTCAAGTGGTAATTTTGCTTTTAAATCTGGAAGTATTAATTTTCATAGGCATACTAAAATTTTAATTTCAAAGTGCTTAATTAGTCAATAGCATATATGGCAGTACTTTTACTTTCGTTACTTGTTCCGCCGGTACAAGTAAAAAAGTACGTACTTTTACTTGTACTTCGTTACTTTTTAAATTTAGTGCTTTTACTTGTACTTTCGTTACCTTTTTAGGGTAAAAGTACAAGTATTTGTATGTCGAATAAAATCGTTACTTTTTTCTAAAACTCGGTAAGCTTTCTAAAAAAAAAAAAAAATTTGGATTTTGTTATTATGTTTTTCAATTTTCTTTTTGAACTCACTAATAATACATTTTTGTCTTAATACATTTTTTACTAAATACATTTTTACCTAGTACATTTTTTACTAAAATTATGTTTATGCCCGACCTTGTCAAACAACGCCCAGTCAAATCTCTAAGAACTTCGAAACTATTTGTGCTATTGAAAACTATTATAATTACTATTTTAACTCTTGAAAACTGGAAGGTATTAATTTATCCGCTGATACTAAAATTCGTTTACAAATTTTAATTATTCCGTTAGGCAGAAATGTTCGGAAAATGATTTTCTCGCATGACTTCATTAGCCGTTGTTACAAATAAAGCTGTAGACTGTTTTGTTTCAATCTATACTGCACATTCAATTATTTTTTACTAGCTCAAAGATGACAAAGCAATTTGAAATCCCGTGTTTGCTTTGTTTATGTTTGTGCTTTTAAAATGCGTTTCTATAGAGTAAAACAATTTTAAATCAATGGTAATTTAAATAAATAAAAATAATAAACTAAAAAGTAAAATCAATAGATAAAATTTCTTTTTCGCGCAAATCCATAAAAACCTTGATATTAAAATTATATTTGATTTTAAAATTATACTAAACGATTATATTATAAAATTATATTATAATATTCTTCCGAATTTAAAAATAAATTAATGACCATAACTTGCAAAACTAAAAATAATTAAATAAATAACAACAATTTTGCAAAAACATTAAAGAACATAAGAATATTTTTCAATAAAATTGTAGGTTACTTTGAATTTTCGATTTCCTAGAAATGTACTTTTAAATCGTTACTTTTTTTTGTTTAGTAGTACTTGTACTTTTACTTGTACTTTTTACTCGTTACTTTTTAAAATAAGAACTTTTTACTAGTTACTTTTTTTAAAAATACTTGTACTTTGACTCGTTACATTTTAAAAGTAACGTTGCAATATATGGTCAATAGTTTTGCTAACAAATTGACGTTTAATTTCAGTGGAGTTAGTATATAAAACATTAAATTAAATGAAGAGAAAAAAAAGTTAATTTGGCAAAAGTTAATTTTTTACTTTATCTCTACATGAGTGAAAAGAAATATTCATTTACAATTTTCAATTAAATTCTTCTTCTTGCTATATAGTTTTTTTGTTTTTTTAATTTTTCTTTTCTTTTGGAAAACACTTGCTATTTTCCATAAGCTCTGAAATATCTCGTATTAATTATAACTTTTGCAGAGAGCGAAGCAGTTGGCATTCCTAGATAGTCACGTGATTATATTTTGATAAAAGTTTTGTGCGAGTTCTATTTGTTTTAAAGTATTCTGTTTTATTTCCCTATCATTCACAAAAACACTTCGCATTAATGTTGGGTGTATCTGCAACAAATGCAAGTTTGCCAAGAGCGACTAAAAATGCAAAAAGTGGTAACCCAAAAAATCTCAAAATTTTATTAAAAGAAATTAAAATTATCAAATTTTATAGCATATCTTTTTTTCTCCAAATTAGTATTGAATGGGCTAGTTCTTTTTTCTTCAGATTACTATTGAATGGATTTGTTCTTTTTTTTTAGATTATTATTGAATGAGTTTGTTCTTTTTTTTCCAGATTACTATTGAATGAGTTTGTTCTTTTTTTTTCAGATTACTATTGAATGGGTTTGCTCTTTTTTTCAGATTACTATGTAATGGGTTTGTCCTTTTTTTCAGATTACTATTGAATAGATTTGTTCTTTTTTTTTTTTAGATTATTATTGAATGAGTTTGATCTTTTTTTCTTCAGATTACTATTGAATGAGTTTGTTCTTTTTTTCAGATTACTATTGAATGAGTTTGTCCTTTTTTTCTTCCAGATTACTATTGAATGGGTTTGTTCTTTTTTACAGACTACTATTGAATGAGTTTGTTCTTTTTTTTTCTTCAGTTTACTATTGAATGGATTTGTTCTTTTTTTTTCAGATTACTATTGAATGAGTTTGTTCTTTTTTTTTTCAGATTGCTATTGAATGAGTATGTAAAAGAAGTTCTTGCTGTAAATAGGAATAATTTGAAATATTTGCCATGATGGTAGTTACCATTGAATAATTAAAGAGATAAATAAGCAACAATGAATTAAGTGTTTCTTCCACTTTCATATTTTTAGTCACCTGCGGCATCTCTGCATCTAATCAGAAACGTCTCTCGAAAAATGTATAATGGGAAATAGCATAGTGTAACGTAACAGAGTGACAACTGAGCTAAAAGCATCAATTCCTCGAGAGGTAATGCTAAAATAATGTTGCTTGAGAGACACACACGAGAAGTGATGTTCTTTTTTTTTGTCGTTGAAAAAGAGAGTTTTTTTCTGAGAAGAGATATTTCGTTTGGGTAATATTTTGTGATTTTTCGTGTGAAGGTTTAAATAAATTGTTTGGTACAACTCACGTCTTATTTCTGGTTGTTGTGACACAACAATAGTAAGTTGTGATTATATATATCCTGGAAATTTTACTTCTTTAGAAAACAAGGTAGAAATTATTGGGTTTACAATCAGTTTTTCTCTAACTTATATAGTAACTCTGAATTTTTCAGACATTGCTATTTTTATTAGCTTGCGAAATATCACATCATGAACAATAGATTAAAATGATTAAAAAATGTGATGATTCAATATAAATGTATTCAAAGGAAAATCTTTTATGAAGTCCACTCTTCTTCTACAGCAAGGGCAAGTTTTTTCCTAAAATAAATAAAAATAAATCAATAAAACTACAAAAAAATTTAGTCATTTATGAATCAGGTGCTAATTAAAATAACCCCGCTCTTCCATCAGAAAGTCGGGTATCATAAGTAGTCTGCGCAGACTATTTAAAAAGTAAACTAGTGGTGCGCATGAAACCAGATACTATTTTAAAAGTAATTGAGAGAAAGTTATCATACATGTATGTATATGAGAATTGAATCTTTGGTGGTTGATAAGTAAATAAGATTTAAAAGAAATTAGATTAAAATAAATATTAAAAAAATATATATATAAAAAATATTAAAAAATATATATAAAAGAAAATAACGTTAAAAAAAAATTTGACGTATATTTGCTATCACTTTCTTATTTATACTAGATATTCTATTAAATGGCTCTTTCGTAAACTAGTTTACGCTCCTAGTAGTCTGATCGGACTACCTAAAAGAAACTGTGTGGAGGCGTTGGCAATTAGTCAGGCTAAGTTTTAAGTATTTTCAAATCTGCCCGACGTCTTTAAGTCTACTCAATTCAGCCTTCAGGCAATTTAAGAAATGCTCGAAGAATTTATCAGGCTTAATTTCTCTAAGCTTACGGCAACTATCATGGAAAAAATCTGAATTTGTTCCATAAATAGTGATTTCATTAATAGAATAAATGCATAAAAATGTTATTTAAAATAAACCTTTTCTACTGGGCTTATTGCAAACTCAAAGTATGCAATGAGGTATGCAATAAACGTAAAAAATTTTAGACAGAATTTTCCAATTACCTGGCACATAATAAAATGATGGCAACTGTTCTCAAAGAGCGATATTATTTAATTATCTAACTACATACATCAAAATTAATATAAATAATATTATTACAGCAAGCTTAAAGAGATGTTAATTTTTATCAAGATAATGTAATATTAAATATCATAAGCTCTAATTAAAATTATTGTATTCTAATTTTATAATTTTAGTTCAAAATAAATTGTTAATGCGATACATATTTTTTTTTATTTGAACTCTTAAAGCCAAGATTTATATAAGTGATACCACCACTAAGTAAATTATATTTAAAAGACTGTACCAGTTTGAAGCTAAGTAATAGGAATGTCACAAGCAGACCATTAAACCTACGAAGAGTGTAAAATATCTAGGAGTCACTATCACCTCTAATTTAAGTTGGAAACAACACATAAATAACATTATTAAAAAAGCGAATGGCGCCTATTGGGCCCTCAACTCCATATTAAACTCGAAGTTATCTTTAGACTTAAAATGCAAGCGCACTGTGTATCTAATGGCAACTAGGCCAATCCTAACTTATGCCTGCCTCGCCATTAACACTCTAAGAGATCATTTAAAAAATAAACTCTCTATGGCAGAAGGGATGATTATTAGAATACTCGTCGGCGCACCTAAATGCATTAGCAATAATNAAATAATATTATTACAGCAAGCTTAAAGAGATGTTAATTTTTATCAAGATAATGTAATATTAAATATCATAAGCTCTAATTAAAATTATTGTATTCTAATTTTATAATTTTAGTTCAAAATAAATTTTTAATACGATACATATTTTTTTTTTCATTTGAACTTTTAAAACCAAGATTTATATAAGTGATACCACCACTAAATAAATTATATTTAAAAGACTGCACCAATTTGAAGCTAAGTAATAGGAAAGTCTGTAAAGTAAAGCCTTCCCATAACAGCCAGTTGTGGGCCAGGGGGTCATACAAATTAAGTGTCCAAAATTTTGTGCACAATTACATGATGTAAGTAATGCTTTCAGCATCGCATCCTGATCGCTTTTACTTCCCAGGTAAGCTGATATTCATCGATCTGAAGCTGGATGGACTCAAGACGCCGGAGGGAGTTGAGCCTCAGTGACCAATGTTATACACTGACAGCAGAGTGTCTTAACCACAGAGCCATCACGACTCAATTATCAAATCACTTCAATCAAATCAAGCCAGAATATTCTATTCTGACATCTCAATAAACTAATACAAGCTTCCGAAGCAGCACAAAATATAGAGTTGTAATTTTAAAAATTTGTACAGACATTCTTGGGAATAAATTGGTTTAAGTGCAGCCGTTATGATTCTTTTTATTTTCAAATACAAAATTTTCAGTCACATTTTCACAGGTTTACGTTCGTTGAGGTGTAATACAAATTTATACAAATTTATATAACAATAAAAATACAAATTTATATCTACAAGTAATTTAATACCTCTTAATGATAACAGTTGGCAGCTCTTTTTTGTACCATCACATAACATATGACACTTCGACATTTGTCGGCCCAGCCTACTGTACACATCGAACAAAAATATGGAAACACTTCTACACTAACTCTAGGTAAACTGTAAATTATCTTTCCTATAGTAGCAAATATTTTGGGAGATTTTACATCACAAAACTGTTGGCAAAATTTGAAAGACCATATTTGATGCTTTTAAAAATGGTGTTCCTTTTCTGCTGGTATTTAAAGCTAGAGTTATTTACTTTCTTTCCTAATTTTGATCCATCTGGATTTGTCATGTATTATGACACTATTTCTAGAACCTTCAATCATGATCTTTAATATAGAGTCAACAGTTTTACCATGTAAAATATTCTAAAACATTTGCTGCTAAAATTATTAGCTTTGCTAATTACTATTAGATTTAGTATACACAGTTACTTTAGAGTTAGATTGACTTTTACTTTAAAGTTTGACTTTAGAGATCGAGTTCGATTCCCATCGATTTAGAATAAAAATATTTCTCTAATTTCGTCAAACCCTGTATGTAATGTGAGTATTTTTGAAAACCCACAGAAATTATCTAAAAGCAGTAACAGCAAAAAATCAAAAATTTTATTAATACCAAATAAAATAACCATCAAAAAATTGAAAATCAGTAAGAAAATTTAAAAATTAAAAATTGATAAGGGTTCTTTATGAAATTGAATTAAAATGTACAGCCAAATGGGAAAAGTATAATACTTACTATTGGTAACCACAATTTAATGCAATCCGTGTGATATAAATGAGAACACGAAAGGGATGTAACCAATTCACCTACTCTGTATTCTTCAAAGCAAAAGTAACACTGCAACTTTTCCTCTGAAATAGGAATAAAAAGTCACGAATTTATTTATTCGTTATTACCAATGCATTATTTGAATACCAGCAACCCTGCCTGAAATCAAGCGAAGTTTAAAGACAGAAGGTGCGTTTCTTGTTTTTTCAGTGGCGNATAAAAAAAAAATTCAGGAAAAAGATTGAGCTTATTTTTAGTTACAAAAAGCAATGTCATTAAAATAAACTATTTCAGTAATTCATGCGAGTATCTGAACGAGTAGTTTTATCAAATAATGTACATAGGTAAACAAGTCTAGCTTTCAATGACATAATGTAAACTAGTTCCCCGATGTTAGGCATGGTCCCTGTGTGTAAGGAGAAAACAACGTTTAGGGGCACAGTAACAGAGGTTCTTGTTGTTGTTGCTAATGCTACTTGCCACACGTGCAAGCCTGCTTGGTGAAACCGAGCAAATTTAAGGCAGAGTGTGCGTTTCTTGCTTTTTCAGTGGCGCCATCTATGATCGACTTCATATACGACTTCAGCTACACGCACACACGTAACAGCCGGTTTTACAATCATACTCCATTTATTCATTCATCCACAGATCGTAATTTTGACCTGGACCAGAGAACGATCAATCTCCAATTCAGTACCCCCAGAGGTTGTGATTTGTTATGAGAATTTGGAGGACTTTGTGATCCCACTAGATTTAACGTGCAACATTCACCAATTAATAAGTATTTATTCATTATAGATTATTAAAACCATTCTTGAATTCCTTAATTAGAAGGAAATAGAATTATCATAACTTTTAAATATTCCTTCGCGTACTTTTCTGGAGTCATTTCTACCTGATGCAATCTCTAAAGAACAAAAATTGTTTCAATGTAACTGATGCGCAGAACATGGGAGCTACATTTACATACAAAGTTGTGAAACGGCATAGAGATGTTTAAGTGAGATGCTGAACTACCTTTATTGACTAGTAAGGTGCGAAACAAATTTTTGTCGTATTTTTGCAAATATTTGATCTTACTTAATTCAGATGTGGGGATTTCAAATCTGAAATTAGCTCTATTCCGAAAACTACAGATTTTAATCAAATTGACATTTAGTTTATTTTTTGTCTGAATGAACAAGTTAATGAAGAACATATAATTTTACATACATACATATACACTTCTCTGTTCCTTTGAAAATAACACTTAAAACTAAAACAATAAGACCTTCACGAATCGCATTTTAAACTGACATGTATGATCGCCATTTTCCCACTACTTCCTACATAGCAAAGAAATGGGGCACCTATAATTCACTCGAGTGAATTAGAAGAAACAAAATCTGTTCAGGAATATGTAAATAAATCAGGTTTCTTCAAAACCTTTAGTGTTAAAGAAGTAAAACAAAGTTCGATAATTTAAAACGGTATTATGTGTTATACTGTAAAGAACATATATCTGTATGAAAACTAAGCCCTACCAAACTTCTTAACGTTGAAGAGGTATTTTAAAAGAGAAAATTGATGCCAGCAATAACAGAAATTTACTATCATTAAAAGATTGTTTTTTTTTAATGGCGGGCACTTGGAACTATTGTCTATTTGGCCTCAGAAAGTATCAGAGCTGCTACCCTCTTCTCATTACCCGGTGGGCCCCTGTGGCGACGCCCACGTCACACAACCCCAAACCCGTTTATAGGGCGGGTCACACTCACACAATCACACACAAAGGAGAAAGAAAGAAACATCCATGCCCAGAGCGGTATTCGAACCCGCAGTCACTGGCTCCGCAGTCAGGCACGCTAACCACTCGGCCACCTGGCCGGCCCATTAAAAGATTGTTAATCTTGATATTGCCACTATAGTCCCACTTAACTCTCATCTGCAAACAAAAAACTAAAGTATCGATCAAGTCACTTCTTTACTTTTACTTATTTTCTCCAGAAAGTGCAGGAACCTTATCCCCATCTACAGCCAGCAAACTTAAGTTTTTGATCAAGCTGCTCCTAATTATTTCCAAGTATTTTAATTTCCTCTAGCAAAGTGCTCGAACTACTTATCCAGCTACAACACGGACAGCTGACATCCCAATGTTAAAACGAACTTTGAAACAAATTCATGACGGATGAGATAGGGGCCGCTTTGCTGCCCAGTTCCAGAGCACTACTATGACAATGAGGTGCCCACACTAGTCCCGTGGAGTTCGTTTATTAAACTCTTTACCGGTGAATTTAAAAAGACAAACCAAAAGTATTGCCTTTATGATCTCTTATTGTTAGAAACAATATATAAAAATTATCTAAAAGTTGCAATTAAAGCAACAAAAAAAATAATAATAAATAACTTTTATACCCTATAAACCTTGATTTGCTACTAAGCAATCTAATGTTTCGTCGTCTAACTATGTACGAAAGCGGGGTACAGTTTCTCTGCTCTGCCAAAATTGGCGAAGAATTTTTGAGTGATAAATAACAGAATTATTCCATTTGTTTACTTTAGCCCCACGTCCACGCTAGCCTCCCTCTTCTTTATCTAAAACTGAATCTAATGTCTAAGAAAATTAAATTGCTTCTGAAACCGAAATATTTCAATTATACAAATTACAAAATGCTTTTAAAAACTTACCAAATTGTTCTTGTGTAATTGCAACTCTGGACAATTGCTGCAATAAATGAAAAAAAAATTTACAAAATGTTCATTTTTTTAATAATAAAAAAAGGGTAAATTTAAAGAATGAAAATACCTTTCTCAAAACAACAGTACTTGCACCCTTTTTCAGTAACTGAAACTAAAATATTTAAAAAGGAAATTATAATTTCAGTTGCAAATAACTTTTATTTACACACAACAATTTTGTTTGAATTTTACCACTGTTATCACTATTTTATTCAAATATCAATAAAAACTTATTACCTCATCTATCAGAGCCAAGTCAGCCCGAGGCAGAGATAAAACCCTATAAAATAATAGCAAACTTTATTTTACCAATTTCAGGCTACAGTTGCAAAAACATATCATGTTATAGTGGCGTTAAAAGTAAAGGGATGCATGCAAACTGCTTCGCTTTATGCAACTTTATTTAACCGATTTCGGACAACAGTTGCGAAAACGCAACGTGTTATAGTGGCTTAAAAAGTACAAGAAGGACTTGCAGTTTTCAGAAATGTGGTCTTTCTAACCCATTCAAAATTTGAATCGACCGCAATGAGCGTAGGATGTTAAAAACTTCTTTCCGGTTTTAATACTACTATTCTAAAAGCATTCTTATATGCAGGGCCCACGCTGATCAATCGCCACCTCGCCAAATGCGATAAAATCGTAAATTTGGCGAATAAAATTGTGTTTTCGCGAAAGTATTGGGAAATGATTTTTTTCACTGGCGTAAAAATGAATTTTTCTAAACAAATAAGTATTTTTATCCGATTACAGTAATTTTCGGTAGATGCGTCGCATAACTAATTAGAAGCATGAAACTAACTACCGTAAAATTGTTTTCAATAGGAAAATAATTATTCATACAAAATTCTTAAGATTTGCCTTTGGTGAAGACTTCAGAAAATTGACCAATAATTTCAATATTTGGCTAATTTACCGACTAATAATTTGAAATCCTTAGCTCGGGCCCTGATTAGAATACCACAATCCAACAAAATATCAAAATTGCTGGTATTTAAAATTAGAAATTAAGTTATTGATTTTCTTTTCCAAATTTCGCCTATCTAAACTTTCGCATTGGTATTTATGACTCAATTTCTAAAAACTTCGAGCACGACCTTCATATTGTGCCAAAAATGTTGTAAAGTAAAATCTTCCAAAAGCATTTTCTAAAAGAAAGATTATTTTCGTACAGTTAGTATAGATGCGTTTCCATATTTTTGTGCAATTCCTTTGGATGTTTATATTATTTAGATGTTATATCTACCCTTACATACTATTTTGTCAGTTTTAATATTTACATTTTTTTCTCTCATCTAAATATTTTGACTAAAGGTGTAGAAAACGGAGTAGTGCGCAAATTCCATACTGCAATTACATGAGGTAAAATTTTCATGTTGTAACTAACGCAAAAAGTTAGAGTCCACTTTAATAAAACATTTACAATCGCTTCGCAGTTTCATTATTATTACAGGATTAAATATTTTAAAAGACCATTGTAAGGGTTTCTATACTAGAATAAGGGAATTTTATTTATTTGTTTATTTATCTTTTTAGAAACATTAGCTACAACCTATTGATTTTTTCAGGTCATTGCAACTCTGCAAAAACTATCAAAACTTTCTTACTTACTCGTGTAATTTTCTTTACTAAAAAATATAAATTAGTGACGCAATTATTTCTCTTTTGAAATTTATTTTTGTTAAATGAAGACATTATCGTGTCGTGTTTATTAAAATATGTTTATAATGTAAGTAGTGATATTTTATTCCAAAAATTATACATTTATTCTATTCTCTTCAAACGAAAGAGGTAGTCATTAAAAATTATCAATTTAGCAAAATCGCATACGCTTTACCAGTTCTCAAAAAGATACATCACACCTAAAGTACAACTGCAAACAAAACAAAACAGTTTTTTTATAACATAAAAATGACTTACCTAATTAATCTTNATAATGTTGTAATGTAAAATCTTCCAAAAGCATTTTCTAAAAGAAAGATTATTTACGTACAGTAAGTATAGATGCGTTTCCATATTTTTGTGCAATTCCTTTGGATGTTTACATTATTTAGATGTTATATCTACCCTTACATACTATTTTGTCAGTTTTAATATTTACATTTTTTTCTCTCATCTAAATATTTTGACTAAAGGTGTAGAAAACGGAGCAGTGCGCTAATTCCATACTGCAATTACATGAGGTAAAATTTTCAAAATAATGTTGTAACTAACGCAAAAAGTTAGAGTCTACTTTAATAAAACATTGACAATCGCTTCGCAGTTTTATTATTATTACAGGATTAAATATTTTAAAAGACCATTGTAAGGGTTTCTATACGAAAATAAGTTAATTTTATTTATTTGTTTATTTATCTTTTTAGAAACATTAGTTACAACCTATTGATTTTTTCAGGTCATTGCAACTCGGCAAAAACTATCAAAATTTTCTTACTAACTCGTGTAATTTTCTTTACTAAAAAATATAAATTAGTGACGAAATTATTTCTCTTTTGAAATTTATTTTTGTTACATGAACACATTATCGTATCGTGTTTATTAAGGGGTCACAGTACCCAAAAAATGACAAAAATACCAAAATTTTTTTTATTGCTAATAATAAAACTTCAAACTATTTCAAATGTACAGAAAAAAATTCATCTCTCTCTCTCTCTACATTTTTAAAAAAGTTATGAATGATTTTAAATTGTTCTAATACAGAAACTTGCTCAGCAGTCTGACTTCAAAGTGCTTTTTCGCATAGATGATAATTTTGTGTCTTAATCTTATTAAATCCCTAAGGAATTTTTTCTATTTAAGATAAAGCTTTGAAGTAAACTTTTTTATCTTGAGTATAATACTCTTATTTAAACTGTGCATGGAATAAGCATTTTATGAGGTATTACAACTTTTACGGCATGTTATATATACCTAACAGGAGTTTTTACCCTTTTTTTTCTACTTTTTTACAAAATAATCTATAAAAAATATTCTAATTGATATATCAACAAATGAATGCACAAAATTGTTAAGATAAATATTGCAAGCACTATGAAAAAAACTTTTTTTGAAAATATGTTCAAATAAAAAAGCCTTAGGGATTTAAAAATTTAGAATTTTTTCTACTTTTTTTAAATTTTAAAAAAAATTAAGCAGTTTAATCATTTTTTGAAGATAAATTATTGATTATAACTTAAATAAGCATGTAAAGCATCCTCAAAATGAATGATTATAGTACCTTTATTTTAAAAAATTGTTGCAAAGGTACTGTGACCCCTTTGTTTATAGTGTAAATAGTGATATTTTATTCCAAAAATTATACATTTGTTCTATTTTCTTCAAACGAAAGAGGTAGTCATTAAAAATTATCAATTTAGCAAAATCGCATACGCCTAACCAGTTCTCAAAAAGATACATCACACCTAAGTACAAACTGCAATGAGTGCAAACAAAATAAAACAGTTTTTTTATAACATAAAAATGACTTACCTAATTAATCTTTCCACATTTTTTTCTGAAACAAAAAGGATATACTATATTTGAAATAAAAATATTTTAAAAAATACACTGACATAGAAGGGGAAAAAATTCCAAAAATATATTGGGAGTACAAATTAGTTCGATCCGTTTTTAAGAGATGGCTCTGCTGTTATGAATGTTTCATAGTGACAGCTGGTTTCGATGGTTTCAGAGTGGTTAAATATCTGTCAATAATATTCAGTTTATATCTCTTTGAGTCTCATACAAAAACCCTGTTTTTTACTTTGTTGAGTATGCCAAGTTTTGTGGTAACGAAGCACCATGTGAGGGAGGTTTTATGTTTCTGTTTTAATTGGAAGAAAAGAGCAGCTGAAGTGCGTTGAATTCTTGTAGAAGTTTATGGTGACAATGCCCCAACTGATAAATCATGTAGGGAATGGTTTCGACATTTCAAGAATGGTGAATAGTTTTGTATACCACGAGCTGCTACAACTTGGTGATTCCATTACGTGCGATCGGTATAGGCTACAATTGATTCGTTACGAGAAAAACGGCCGGAATACGAGGAAAGACATGACAAAGTTTTTCTTCACCATAATAACGGTCAGCCTAATGTCGCAAAAGAATATGAATTTTGGAAAAAAAATTTGGAAACACTTGAGTGGGATATTTTACCGCATCCACTGTATTCGCTGGACATTGCTCCTTCTGATTACTGGTTGTTCCGACTGATGCAGCACGATTTGACAGGACACCAGTTCACTTCTTTCGCAGAAATCGAAAATTAACCCCTAACTTGGATCGCCTCAAAAGACGGGACATTTTTTCGAGATGGAATTCGAAAATTGCCTGAGATTTAAGAAAAAGTAGTAGCCATCGATGGACAATACTTTGATTAATCTGTTCATTCATTTTGTTCTGAAATAAATGCGATTTTGATCACAACAAAAACGGACCGAACTAATTCTTGCCCCCAAAAGAATATGAAAATTAAAACTAAAATTCATATTTTAGATACCAATTCAAAAATGTCAACAACTCCATTTTAGTTTATATATATATATATATATATTACAACCAAAGTTAAGAACTCAAGCTTTTATTTCTACGATAATTTCTGTTTTTGCTAACAAACANATATATATATATATATATAAATGTAAAGTTTACCTCTTTTAATTTTTCTCAGTCCGTAGAAAACATCATTAACAAGAGAGAAATAGCGGATGAACCTGAAAATGAATGGAGAAGGAAAGAATTAAAACTAGGCAAATTGCAAAACACAAAATTTTTGACTTGACAAACTGTCAAGGCAAATAATTGGTTTCTAAAAGAAAAATTTACAGAAATTTTCATTATTATTTATACATTTTGGGATATTCAATGAGAATCCACATTTTACGACCAAAAAGGGGAGAAAAAAAAACCTTAAAAATCTAGTATTTTGCATATTATTTTCCTTTTCAAGATAAAAGTTTTCTGATGGCATCATATTCGAAAACTAGAAAAGGTCTATAACAGAATATGCATGAACGTGTCTATACGAGTAAATTAAATGTACGTGTATATCAAATATACGTGTATATCAAATATACGTATCCAACAATTATGTAGTGCGGATCAGATATCAAATTTTACAGAATATACGACTTTTTAAAAATTGCATAACTTGGAAGCTATTCCATCATTTTCGTTCAAACTTTATATTTTGCCTTATAAAAGAACATTCTTTAAAATTATGTAAAAAGAATATGTATATTAGAAATTAAACGCTTTCACCCTTATTAATTAAAATAAATACTTAGAATTATAAATACTTATCTTCGAACAATTGAATCTTTTAATTGTGTACTAAAATTTTTTCAATTCGTTCCGGGGATACGGTGAAATATGCCATGCAATATTAACATTAAGGGATGTAAACTTTCAATCGCTCATCAGACAAAACTATATTCCTCGAAAATGCGGCTATCCCAACTTTACATCCCACCTTTCACTCCTTTTTTCTATTTACCCCTGATCAGTTGTTTTCAACGTCGCGTGGAACTCCCCCCACGTGACTATCGCAAGCCATCTAATTGATGCTGGGTTGTTGGTGGTAGTTCGCAAATCCTTTTTTCCAACTTTTCACCAAAAAAATTATTAATCATGTGCACCTTTGAGCTCAGGGTCAGTGTGTAAGAAAAGGGTATAGAGGGATTTTATATATGGGACGGAATCCTTTTCTGAGGTAAAATAACTTGAAAGGGAAAAAAGACTTTCCCCTCACTATCGTTTGACAATATATTAGAATTTCTATCTACATCATAATGCACCATTTTCAAAAATGTCGAAAATAGCGGACGTAGAATATTCGCGAGGTGCTTATTTGTTGTTGTATAAAAACTATTAGTCTGAAATACGCAACAAATATAAAGATGAAACGGTGCATTGGAAATGTGGGAATAGGGTCTGCACTGAAATAATTTCAAAAGATGTAAATAGCAAAAATTTAACTAAAATTGTTGTAACTCATCAGCAGCCACCAACAAAAATGCATACCTCTGAATGAAACATACCTATTTTCTCATGGGTAGGCTCCAGCCACTGGCAACACGGCTTACAGCTTTTGCTGTTTGCCACTTTGCCATAAAGAAAACCCTATACTTGTTTCGTTCAGAGGTTGCATATTACATATCTTAATTTTATACTGATATGTTTAACTATTTTGATTTTTAAGTGTCAACGCACCGAGGTCCTGCGATGAGCTCAGCAACAACAATCGTTGCAATTGAGCCTACATATTAGATACTCCAAATCCGTTTAAAAAAAATGAAAGGAATGTTCATTCGGTGAATTTTATAACTCAAAATACTGTCTGCTCTAATTAATGAGCAATTTTTTTTCTTTCTTTTTTTTAATAACAGCAGCCACTGAACTTTCGTTCCTCGCCTTAGAAGATGCCGGAAGTGTTGCTCATTTATCGTTACCCAGTGGGCACCTGTGAACCAAAGTCACGGAGGCGAGCAACATTACCCACGCCACGCTGCCACAAATACCCGTTCATAGGGTGGGCCACATTCATACATTCACTCATCAGAAGACAACAGAGAGAGAGAGAGAGAAATGTCCATGCCCAGAGCGGGATTCGAACCCGCAGTCATTGGCTTCGCAGTCAGGCACGCTAACCACTCAGTCACCCGGCTGGCGATGAGCAATAATTAAGTTGAGATCTTTTCAATATTAAGATTGCTTCTCTTTGTATGTGAAAATACGATAATTAAATTATACGTTAGTCAAATTGTTCCGAATACTATTATTATTATTTTACGCATTGTATCTCAATATTGATAATAAAATAATGAATCAAATAATTACAATTTCTTTTTTTGTTCTTTCTAATAATGTATGAATTAAATTCTTATCACTAAAGAAATTTCCCCATTTGCAAAATCATAATTTAAGCCTTTTCTAAATCATAGTTTTATATATATTCCAATTAAATTTTTTGACCTCGTTCCCCCATTTTTCACTCAATTTAATTTTGGAATAACAATCATGCCAGCTTTCATCCCCCTTAAGTAAACTTTAACCTTCTTCTGATTATCAAACTTTTCCGTAGAAAACCTTCCTTAAGACACTAATTCTCTTTTTTTTTCCCTTCTTTTTTTTTTTGCAAATTAAGTTTGGAATGAGAGTCTTTTTTTTCCCTCCATAATTTCATCCTTTTACAAAAGAACAAAAATTTGCGACAATCCTCTTAAAAATATGATATTTCGATACCCTTCCAGTTTTTATTTTTAACCTTGTCTTTTCTCTTTTTTTTTTAATTCTCAGGCTTAGAAATGTGACTCTTAACATTTTGATATTATTAAGAATTCGCACAAGACAAAGATAATAAACTAAAATAATTGGCAGCAAAAACAAAATTAATTCAGCAAGTTAAGTGTAAAGAGTGTCCTTTTCTGACAATAATAATATCCAAGGTATCTTCGGTTGGTTACAATAAATGTCAAAACGCTGTTATCAAATTTTTCAAACTCAATCAAGGTGATGGACATATTTTTCTACTGATGTTATTTAAAAATACTCTTGGTACTCATTTAAAATATACTTTTCAAAAAAAAAAAATTTTTTTTTTTTTTTTTTTTTTGGGTCTCTAAATGTAGATTACTATTCCCAATGGTGAAAAACCTAAGAGAACGCTTCTGATTCAAAGGCATAAAATAAAAATAAATAAATATAATGCTTACCAAAACTGACTCGTTATGTTGCCATTTGAAAGTAGCGTCTTTGTCCTTCTGTCCATTTCTGCTTGATACATTTCAGTAGTCATAAAGTCTTGGAGGGTACTATCGTCTACAGGTAAAAAAGCTGCAAATATAATTCATTAAAACCATGAAAATTAAAGGTTTTATTACTTTGTATAATACGGTGATAGTGGATTCAGCTAATGGTTTTCTAAAGCTTAGAGGACAGCGTTTCCTACATCTTAAGAGGACGCCATGCCCGGAAGAAAATTTTTTTTTATAAATTTTTCTTCTCCTTCATAACTAATTTAAAATTTAAAGTTTAGTTAGTAAGTAAAGTGAGTTCAGACAAACCTAGCCATGAAGTTTCCGATTCTGAAAGGAAAATTTTAAAACATACAAATGAAAATAAATTAGGAGATGATAACTGCGACGAATATAACTCAGGATTACACAAGTTCTTTTCTAATAATTTGTTTGCATTTTAATATTTCGTAGTATTTTTTTTCAGCAATTAAAACTTCACGACAAATTCTAGGTTTGCCAGAACTTACTTTTTCTTCGTTTTAAATTTTAAATTAGTAATGGAGGAAAGGGAGAACTTGTGACGAAAATTTTCTTCCCCTGTATAGTGTCCTCTTAACGTTGTTTTTCTAAACTCCTTCGCCAAGGGAAAAAAAAACAACACACACACAATTTAAGTGCCTTACACTTGCAGCAATGCGAAGATTTTAAGCTGTATATATAATCCTGCCTTGAAGAATTATCTGGGCCTTAAAACACACAAATAATTAAAATATTTAACAAGTTATTAAAGTTTATTAAAAATCGCCAATTTGGCGATATTTTTACGCCTGGAGGAAAATGATCAATATCACTGCGCCATTCTCTTCTCTTGCAAATTTTTATGAGCCCAGGTAATGCACCATTGGAGTAAGTCTTTAAATATAAACAATTGGGTATAATATAGCCTACGTCACAGGTTGTGTTGTTCCTACTAAATTTAACCCATGAACGGCATTTTCTGCGAGCCTAACTTCAAGCCACAAATAAACAAACAAAGTGTTCGATCGTTTAAATAGCTGCTCGCCAGATTTTATTGCATTATAAAGAAAAGTCATTGAAACTAAATACAACTAAATAAACAACAACAACTAAAACAAATAACAACAACTACTAATAACAATAACTAAATAAACAACAACTAAATTCCATTCGTTTAGCATTGCGTCATATGTTGTTCCTACTAAATCGAAGTAGTTGTGTTTTTTTCATATTATACCCAATTAGACTACAAAGGCTTTTCATTTTTACAAAACTGTGGCTTTGCTTCATACTGAAGTTTTGCGCCATTTTTAAAATTGGCGTAGACGGCGCTGGCTACAGATAGGCAAAACTTGACCTAACAGTTACAAACTCATAGCAGTTATAAAAATACAGAAGGGAACCGATTATCCGGAACGATCGGGACCATCGCTATTCCGGATAACTGATTTTTCCGGTTTTCTGAATCGCTGCAAAAAGCCGTTTTTTTATTGTTAAACCCAACTTAAAAAAATTTTTTCTTTGGACATAATCTTAAAAAGAAGAAAAAACGATGGAGTAATACACTAAAGATTATTTCAAAAATGATGGTAAGGTAAACATCTTTCAAAAAAGAACGAAAAATCCTAAAATCTTATGAGGAAAAAAAAAAATTTTTTTTTTTGTTTAAAAATAACGGGAAAATTTATCGAATTTTGTTCCGGTTTTTTGGTTTTCCGGTTTTCTGATTTCCAGATAACGGGTTCTGTACTATAGCATATTATTCGCAAGAAAGCATTAATATGAAAATATTACGGTGGAGCCTTCGAAAAACATCTTCAATTAAACAGTGAAACATTTTCTGAGAAAATTGTTGTCTTGCAAATAATGTTAAACAAGAGTGCAGGTAAAGCTATACGTCCTTTAATGCCCCCTCCATTTTTTTCGTCACTTGTGCAAATTTCAATTAATAGCAACTTTTTATTTACAATAATTTTTTTCTTCCGCAATTTTAAAATGAAAACTATCTTCAAACTATGCGAAAAAAATTTTTCTTTGTCTTCTTAATGGGAGATTAGGTGTTTAAATTCGTAAAAATTGGCAGTAATTTCGATTTTCCTATTTTAATATTATTATATTTTAACAAAGTTTACGGACATTCGAAAAAATTTTTTTTTTCAAATTGTTCAAAACTTAGCACTAAGATTAGTACTTGATTATTTTATTTTATAACCGTCATTGATCACCCAATTTTAGAGTTTACTACTATTAATGTTTAACTCCGTCACCTTTTAATTTTGATCCCAATCCAGAAGACAAGGGAACTCTTGGATGAAGTATTGAGAGAAATTTGCCTTCGTGGAGAACTTTTTGAGGGAACAAACCAGCATTTGCGTTACACGGAGGAGAAAACCTTCTACGGTTAGCATGACGGCAAGAGGACTCTAACCCATGATCCGTCTACTGCTGAGGATATTTTACGCCAGCACTGTGGACACTGCAAGCCGGATGAGGAATTTGTTTCGATCAGCCATCGTCGCAATTCGAACCCGGTTAACCTCGTGCTTGATTATTATAAAAAAATTGCACTCACGCAAGTCAATGAGAAGACGAATGGTGTTGTTGTTGTTGCACGCCCCCATTGGCCAGCAGGGCTAGACCAGGTCCATGACGTTATACACCCTCAAAAAATACAACACCGTCAATGAATCATGTGCTAAATCCTGTTTGGCGAACCCCAGGCACTCGAGGATGTGGTTGAAAAACAGTTGGTACAAATTTCGAAGTAGACGAAAGGTGCTTCGATCCATTGTATATTGAACCCTTTGCTAAATTTTCGCACAACTACTAAAAGTGCAATTCTCATACTGTTAGGAGTGGAGGCTATAATTGAAGCAATTACTTATTCCTGATTACTGTGCAATTGACATTTGTCCGTACAAAAAGGAAACTTCGAGTTAAATTTAACAAAATAGTTTAATGTAGATTCAGGCCTTTGTTTATAGTCTCTCAAGGAACCAGGAAATATCACCCTAAATTAAAGTGCGTCATTAAGTAGAATTTGTCTTGCAGTGATCATACGATTCTCAAGAAGATTCCAAAACATGATTTCCAAGAAGATCACCAATGTCGAGAATGACTGAGTGTGGTCAGTGTGCGGGTGGGTGATCACTTTGATCTGCCTGCGAAAGGATCGGGGTATATGGTATGACTCGTTGAACTGTTGCAATTTGAGATTTTTACTATGTCCTTAAAAGATCGCCAAAAACAGCTCTCTGAATTAGAGCCACTCACAAATATTTTGAACGCATTTGAATCTACTTTTTTGTTTTGATTGCTTTCGTGTTTCCTTATTTGACCTTTTCTGCAATTGCAACTATAACTGTACTTATTAGTGTAGTTTATGTTGCTTTTTCTAAAAATACAACGAAACGGTAATCTTTCGAAATTATTAAACCCACTAAGAATCATTCAAATTTAAAAGTGATAGCGATACAAATTTAATGATATTCGAAGACAAATACAACTTACTTTCAAGAGGTTCGATATATAAGTAAATGATGTAACGAATTCGTCTCCTGTAAAACATTAAAATCATAATAAAGAGTCATTAATCGTGATACATATATTATATATAAGTAAATACAAGAAAACACGAAGAAAGTTAGGAAAAACAATAAGTTTCATTTATTACGCTTAAGCTGCAAGTAAACAGAACTCATTAGATAAGTTCAAAATGAAGAATAAAACAAAGAAAAATTATAGACATATGAAAAAAAGGGGGTGGGAAATAATAAGTAAAAAAACACA